AGCTTAAAACAAAAGGTTCATTTCTCACACTACATGTCCATGATGGCTCAGCTGGGGCTTCCGCTCCATGTCTCCTCATTTTTATGCCCAGGATGATAGGTTACCATGGTAGATGGAAAGAGAACTCTGGAGAGGCTCATGTTGGTATGTAAATGTCCTGGCCCAGAAGTGACACAAGACACTTCTACTCACACTCTGTGGCCAGAACTAGTTACATGGTCTCAACTAGCCCTTAGGGTATTGATCATGACTGCTGTACCTCCATGCATGAGAAGAAGAGAGGCTGTAGCAGGAAGGGGTGGTGCTTCTATCAGTGAGGCAAACCTTTCCCAGAAACCCTCAGCTACATCTCCTTGACTAGAACTGGGACCTGTAGTCACCACTACCAGCAAGGGAATCTACAAAAGTATGTACTTCAGCAGGGCACACTGCAGCTCCAAACAAAACTGGGTACTGTTTATAAAGAAGGGGAAATGGATATTGGGTAGGCAACTAGAAATAACTAAGAGCAGAGGGAGTGCCACTGGAAAATGAGAGACAGTGTTGAAAGCATAAAGACAAAGGTAGAGGATAGACCCAGACCCTAGCAGAAATAGCATGCAGGACTTGGCTATGAACTTGACTTAACTGAGTCCGCCAATTTAGAGACTAGCTGAGAGGTTCCCTATGTCATCACAAGATTAAAACTATCAAAGTAATATATTGATTAGTGTTAACTCCAGACACATGTTAGCCAAGATGTCTTCCCAATAGCAGACTATGACTGAATACAGACTAGATGTACTACAACTAAATACAATGTTATAGCAAGGGCATATGGTTAGCTATTAGCTATTGAGGGCCTACTGTGTGCCAGGTTCTGCATATATTTAATCTCTAATTTTCATTACAACCCTGCAAGGTAGGTATTACATCCATTTCACAGATGAGCAGGCCAACACAGATTGGTTAATGGACTGCCATAGGTAACAGAGTCAATAAGAAGAGATGCTGGATCCAAACCCAAACCACATTCCAAACTTCTCACTCTGCTCTCTATTTTATATTAGGGTGCCCTTTTCACTACACATCTTTTAGTAATGATAATTTTAAATGAAATGTGCTAAAGACAGTGCAACCTGAAATCTTGTCCAAGATGAATGTTTGGTAGGTGAGGAGGTAACAGTGATGATTGACACTGAACACTTCTGTTTATATAAAGTCTTGTTTTCTTAGTGTCCAATTTGTCAATAGAGATGCTGGAAAACATCATAAAGAAACAAGCAAGAAACAAGGAAATGCAGAAGCAGCAGAGATCAGATGGTGCAGATGTAGCCAGTACACTACAGATAGGCAATCTCAAGACACTCTGGATGCTGTTAATTAAGAGACAGACAGCTGTGCAGCCTAAGAATTGGCAATTTATTGGATGAATACATGGAGGCAAGAAGAAAAAGATCCACCCCATGAACATGAATATGGACCAGCAATTAGTCTTCCCCAAGTGGATGTGGGATCTAAATGTAGCTGGGTTCAGTCTTAGAGCTCTGGAATTCTCTTGCTTAAGGACTACATTAGATTAGTCCGTTGGGAGATTACCAAGGCAACCCACAGACCGACTTCTAACTTTTGGGCCTGCTCCCAGTCCCAGCTATGTAGTACAGTTTAGTCACATATTATGGACAGATCACTAAATTGTACTTGATGCCTTTGAATATTGAATGTATTCTGACATTTAGTCCAGGACAGTATCAAAAGTCTTAAATGTCTTTATCCTACACTAAGAAGAGAAAATTTCCCATTCACTCTCTCATTTTTTGTTTTTATCTTTCATCCATCACATACTTACAGAGACTTTTATGTACCAGGCACTGCTCTACAATGCAACAGACAGTCCATGCCTTTGTGAAATTTAGAGGTTAGTAGGGGAGATGGAAGTTAATCAAATAACCTCCTATCCCAAATGTAAATTTGTGATGACATATGTTATTAAACCTTTGCTAAGTACCAGGAATGGTGCTAAAATGGATTGCCAAGATGGTGCTTAATCTCTCCACTGTCCTGGGGAAACTAAGGCTCAGAGAAGTGAGGCAAATTTCCCAGTCATGCCACCTGCAAAGAGACAGCGCTGGGATTCCAATCCAGCGCCATCTGATGTGAAAAGCCCATGCACTTGGCTACTTGTTTATATCTCCTTTAAACTATTGATCTCATTTCTTTTCCAGTTTCTGCAAAGTCTGGAGTTGGGATTGTAAAGGTTTGAACTTCTCATGTAGTCTTTGACACAAAATATTCCAGCACCAAATTCGTGTAATTCATCGGGCTTGGGCAACTTGTTTCAGATAAGTTTTAACACAAAGAATCAACAATAATTGGTTACCTACAAGATACCTGAAAAAGATATTACTACCTAGGCCAAGTTAAAACAATATTCACAGATATTGTCAAATGTTCCAGATTATTAATATAGCAATGGCGCTCCCTAATGACCATTGTTGTGTATTACAACAATCTCAGTCTCTTGACTGAGAAGGGGAGCATTTTGGGTGTAGCGGAGGCTTCCTATTCCAAGGTTTGGATGAATAATTAGCCTCGCTTAGTCTTGATCACCTTCGCTCCTCATTCCCCCCATGCCACCCCATTTACATCAACCCCAGAGGCAAAGTCATGGATTCAGAATGCAGCATCTTTTCATGGTTCAGAGTTCCAGTCACCAGGACACAAGGTACCCATGACAGACAGTGAGATTTCCACAGTGTGAACCATCTGCTGCCAATCTCCAGGATCACTTAACCCATTAGGTAATGATAGATGAATCCATCATCTCCTACTACAATCCTTCTTTCTTTTCTGAAGATTGTGGCTACAAATGACCCTACCCACACACTCTCTGACCCTATGCCACAGCTATACAAAATAGAAACTTATGCATTCACTTTGAGCTAGGTATTGTGCTAAGGGCTGGAGACACAGTGATGAACAAGTCGTGATCCCTGCTCAAAAGCTTACATTCTAGAAGGGGAAACAGGTGGCCAATCAGCCTATAAATTACTCACTTTCAATTACAATGATTACTACAAGAATGAGGCTCTGAGAATCTGTATCAGGGAGACTAGAATAGATCAGGCCTGGGTGTCAGAAAAGTTTTCCCTGAGGAAAGAGAGCAAGGTGTGCTATGCCATAAATGGAGAGACGCTGGTCAGAGTGATCAAGGAGCTTGGATGAGAATGAACACGGGGCCGAGGCAGCCTGAATGGGGCTCCTCCTGAGACTAAAGGTGAGTGATCAGTGTGGGGTCAACTAGTAGGAACAGACATTAAGTAATCTCAAGGATGGTGAGAATGTTTGTCATCAATTTAACCATCAAAGATGACGGAGCTGATGTTAAAGGATGAGTATAACCTAACACCTGAATATTTATTTTGAGTGTTAAACTCTCTTGAGTAGTTAATGTTGGAGTGGAGAGTATCTTAGATCTCTGCCTATTCTGCATTTTCCCAGGAGCTAAGGATATTACAAAATTTATTGTTTACATCCCCTCCATTACTTACGTAAGATGAGGCAATAACGAGAGCAGACATTTTGCAGGAGTTGAGGTAATAATGGACAAAGATGAAACAAAGAGAAGATAGTGGTAGCAGCTATGGAGTTTCAGTGGTGAATTGTGTCTATAAAACAATCAGAATACAAAGCTTCACCTATTATATGATGCCAGATAGTTCTCAGGATGTAGTACAGGTTAAAAATGCAAGATTTGGATTCAAGAAACCTAGGTTCAAATCCTACTCCTCCACCTTTAGTTATGTGATCAGGGTAAACAACTCCCTTATGCCCCCATTTCTGCATCATTTCTACTTTTAGCACCAGCTTTTTAGATTGTTACGAAGGAGTGTATGTAAAGTGCATAGCATCACGTCTGGCATATTCCAATTACTCAATATTAGTTTATCATTGTTATTAATAATATTTAATATTTGGGAGGAAATTTACATTCATGTAAGACAGACTTGAGGGAGACGTTTAAATCAGAAAGGGGAAAAACACCACAAATCTTTGCTAACAATGGAAATTTAATGAGACCCGTTCCCCAAATTTCCCGGATCATATTGTTTAAGGAGGACGTGGTAGTGCATGTGAAAAGCACAGATTCCCAGGCCCCTACCCAGAAATACTGAATCACAATCCTTAAAGGATAAACCTGATAATCTATAGCGTATCTCTAATCAGCTCCGTAGGTGATTCTTAAAATCAAGCACTGCTGTGAAGTGCTTATTTAGTGGAACAGCTGCAGTGAGTCGGCGGGGAAGGACAGCCAGGTTGCAAGCAATCACCAGGGCCTGAGCCTACAACTCCCATACTGCCCCGCAAACTCGCAACGAGAGATCCCGATGACTACCGGGAGTTGTAGTTTCCGTCGGCCAGATCTCTGCCTATAAGAAAGCCGGAGATGGCTGCAGAAAACCTCCCGCCCCACAATGCAAAGGGAAACAGCGACGCCATCTAGAACGCGCCAGAAATTGAGCGTGCGGTTTGGGCAGCCTCTGCCACCTCCTCCGCTGCCTCAGGGACTTCCTTTCTCCCCGCCGCTGCCGCCGCCACTGCCACCGCCGCCGCCACCGCCACCGCCTCTTTGGGGCCCCCCTCCTTCCCCGCCTCCTCCCCCACCTCTACACGACCCAGGCTTTCTGTCCCGGAGAAGAAGCCGTATTCGGTCTTTCTCGGGGGTCGGTGGCGCAGCCATGGCGGATGGCGGCGCCGGCGGGGGAACGGGCGCGGTGGGCGGCGGCGGAGCAGGCCAGGCCTCGGCCGGGTCAGCTACGGGTGCGACCGGGGCGGGCGGGAGCGGCGGCCCCATCAACCCGGCTTCGTTGACTCCC